CAGGAGAGATTTTTGTCTCTGAGATTACAGTCAATTTTTCCTTCTGTTGTTCGAAGAGTAAGACCTTTAGCTATGCTTCTTTTCTGGACTGCCCACATATCTGATGTTATCCAGGTCATGTTGTCGCTACCTGTTTCTCGGTCCGAGGCAGGTAGAAAAAGGGGCTGCTTTGACAGAACCTGTAAATCAATCCCATTCTCTGGCAAACAAAGATTGATCCCTCAGTGGCCTGACTGTTGCTGGGTGGTGGGATCCAGGCCTCGGATTTGAGTGGGATGATATCAGACAGATTCATGGCACCTAAGCCTGCCGGTTCAAAGAGGCATGAAATAAATACTAGGCCACTGCCAATAATAAGAAGCAGCATAAGTACGCTTTCACGCTTCTCCAGTGTACCTTTGGAAATTGGTACTGGAAACCTTGTTTATGCTTTTCTCTGTACTGTTAATGAAACTTTAAGGAAAAACATACACAGAATCAATCGTTTTGTCTGGAATTTCTTGCATTCTGTAGTGGGCATACTCTTCCGATTGGAAATGTTTTTGACATCACTGCGGTAATTTAAATTTCCCTGCTATCCAGCCCATTTCCTTTTCTTAAATGAAATGCAGGAGGTTAAGTGTGTGCTTCAAAAATGTTTTTTAATTAAAGTCTTGGGCTGGTTATGTCGCACAGGGTTTGTTGATTTTAATTTCTTTTAAACAGTGGCTGCATGCCTCCGCTCCACCTTGAGTGGTAAAGCTTTCTAAATAACTTGAAAAAGTATCTCCATAGATTTTTGGTGAATTTTATATTTTTGTGTGTCCCTGAAACTCTCAAGGTCTTCAGAGACCTGCTGTCAGAGCCTTCATTCCATAAACCTGTTTTTCACGAGGTAATTAATTTGTTTTAATCACAGAAACTAAATGGAATTTCAGAAACACCTTGATTGTAAATTTTCATAGCTGGTTACGCGCAGCCCAAACCAAATATTTTGGACATTGCTGTTGTAATTATTCAAAAGCCAGAATATGTCTTTACAACACACTGAAAATGTGGAGTTTTGAAATCACAAGGTAATTATAGTTTTACACACTGTGGCCTTAACTACTGGGCCATTATGGGGTGCACAAAAGTCATTCACAGCATCATTATTGCACCCTCTGAGATAACGGCACAAAAGAACTCCACGTGGAAAATTACATTTGAGACCTCTCATCTGCTATTTCATTACCTTGCTCTCTCTGATGGGTGAAATGGGTTCTCTTAATTTAAGGAGCTGGATTCCAGCTTAGTGAGTGATTTATGTAATCTCACGGTAAGTGTAATTTCCCATAATGCCATGTCACAGCTACTACTCTGCTTAGCTACCACATTCACTCATTGCATTGTGGGCCATCTTCGCCCTGCATCTGACAAATAAGACCATTTCTATGGTGTACACCCTGCAAAGACAGAAGTATGCAATTATCTGTGAGCCACAAGTGTGTCTATGTGTGACATTCATACCTTCTTTTGACAGACATAATTAGTCCACAGATTCTGAGGCACTAAGAGATGTCTTCATTGACAGCTCTGCGAGGTTACTTACATGTTGCACATTGCAAAGACATCTGATCGGTGTCATGGGATTCAAATAAACGAATCTGTTGAACACAAGGATTCATTTTATGCTCTATTATTTCACTGTTTGTATATGGACAGTAAAAAACTGAATGATAAGACAGATAAGTATCATCAGTTAGAATTAAGTATTAAATCAATATATGTTGATGTTCTTTAAACTCATATTAGTATTTAACACACACTCACATCTACTGTATACACAGGCATGGAAAATTTAACCCCAAACACTTCATTTCTTTACTCATTGACCACATTTCACATTATGTTGGTAATAGTTTAACATTCAGTAAACAACGCTGAGTTTTAACAGAGTAGCATCAAAAGAGCAGAATGAATTTGTGTGATAGTTTCATCAGTCATCCAAACGTCACTAACGTACAGTGTCTTTAATCAATGGAATCTTAAAGTGTTTTATACCAAAGACAACACGTGCACGTTATAGGTTTAATTGTCTCAGTGTAGTGTATTCTTGAAGTGATAACTAGCAGGGTTGCATATGCTGCTTATTCAAAGGATCTGTCATCTCCTTAAAAGAGAGCGGGATGGAATTTGAGAATCAGTTTTATTTGGTGTTGTCTGGTTTGTTGTGTTATTTGTATTTGGTGTATTTGTTTAAGTTTCACTGAGAAATATCTGTAGAAGTTAAGTATTGATGTTTTTTTCTGATGCGGGGGGATTTGGGACATGGTGATCTTGCTGCTTCATCATTCTTGAGCTTTTACTTAATATCGATGTTTGTCAGAGAGGAGAGTGGGTGGAGCTGATGTTTATGCAGTCCATTGCATGTTACTGTCACAGTGGTATAATTTTCCTGGTGTGGTGTTGGAGGAAAGCACCTGCAGAGGAAGAAACAAAGCCGAATGTGTAAGAATCAATTTGCTGTAATGGAGAGAGCCACAAAGTCACTGAGGATTACTTACATTAGTACCACTTTATCAACTTTACATACCATAGAAATAAAACAACCAGCGCTCATACAACATTTATAGAAATTCAAAGAGAATAAATATAACCCCTAAGAGATTTAGAGGGATTTACAAATAATGTTTGTTAAAAAGCACCAGACCTATATTTAAACAATGTTTTTAATAGATAAGACATTATAAAGTTTTATTGAAAACACACTGAAAACAACTTCAGCGAAAAATATCTATTTTACTTTACGTGTGCTTCAAGAAACCACTGTAATTCAGTGTTTGGACCTGATGGGGATTTGATTTCCTTCATCTTGCATTTGAAAATGTAAGCTGGAAATGATTATCGGCACAGTTCATCATTTGGTTGGGATGAGAGGAGCACATCTATAAAGAGTCCCAGCCTTTTAGTGGTTGAAATGGGAATTTCTTTTCCCCCTCCCTCATCAGTTTGTGAGTTTGTTCTGCAGTGTCAGCAGTCGGCACACAAAAACGGAATTCAGTAAAAGCTCCCTGCTCTCCGGGAGTTTTTTTTCCCCCAACAGCTTGCTACCATCCCCCCTTTTCCCCCTTATGAACTGACATGTTGGAAGAAACATATGCTACTATTCCCACTTCCTGACAGCTTGTGCTGCTTGAATGGGATCTTGCTCAGGGAGGAAGCAGTTGTCTGGAAAGAGAGGAGAGATTGAGAAAAGAGAAAAACCTCTGTGATTTTTCTGTAAAGGAAGTAAAACATCAAGCTACTGTAGTTTAAATAGTGAGTTAAGGGTTCAGACAATAGAAGCCTGACAGCTTGACACAGACGCCTGAGATTCCTTTTTACTGAGTCCAGTCTGTTTCTGTGATTTCCTGAGCTGATAGATACAAATACACATAGGAAGCATGTTGCTCAAAGTTAAAATGACTTTGAAAATTAGATGTTGTGTCTCTTTACAACTTTGGCTAAATTACCCTTTACAGTGACAGCAGCACATCAGCCTCTCAACCACAGCAGCTGGAGTCCCAGTGTGAACACTGGACATATTCAGCTTCACTACATTTGACATTTTCCCAACATACAATCATGTTCAATCTGCGTTTATGTTGAAGAAAAGACATAAAGCCGAACAACATAACACAAGTTTTATTGTTTATTGCTCTCTGGGAATTTTACGAAGATGTGTCTGTATCTGTTCATGTTATTTAGTGTTGCGTTTCTTCCACACCTTTGTGTTCAGGTGCTGTTTCTTGGAGTGAGTACTCTAAAACATTTCCTGTTATGATAATGCATGAAATATTTACTCATAACTAAGAACATTTTTGACTTTCTCTGTTTGCTTGAGCTGCATTTGTCTTTCATGGTACAACACCTGCTCATCTGCATTTGGGAGATAACACATTTGACAAACAGATCAGGGAGTGGCATGTTCTAAGAAAAACTGTTCCATTTTCCATATTTCTATAGCATATTAACACATTTTACCTTGTAAAGTCCAACTTATCGTTTCTGTATCTGTGTGGTAGCGAGGGTTGGTTAACTCTGCAAAGGTCTGCAAGAAGAAATGTCCTCATCCGTCCATTATCATGAGGGTCAGTGCAGCCCAAAATTTAGGGTAGTCCAGAATGTGCACACCAAAAAAATGTGTGAAGACCTATGCAGATTCCCTCATTGTACATACAGTGTACATCTGCCGATTGTGTCAGTTTTTTGGGCTTCATCCAGCCCTTAAGCACGTCCACCATGCATGTTGTACTCAACCTCTACATTGTTAATGAGGCATTTTCTCTCTGGCCATGCTCAACACAGAACCTATGAAGCACGTTCTTATGTCTGCTTTTGATGTAATCTAATCAAAACTCTCTTAAGTCCTGTGTTGGACTCTAATGCCACTGTATGCAAAATGTTTTCCATTCATGAAGACCATACACTGTACATTAACCACTGCACTGCTGAATCTCATTTCACCACCCACATGCTTCAGTCGTATCTTGTATTGTGCAATACTTATTTCCCCATAATATCATTTTCAGTTTTTTTTAACTAGTCATACAATAAATTCTGCTCCTGGTGCCACCATCACATAATGACACAGTCCTCAGTTTATGAGCTGCAGATATACTCTTGAGTGTGTTGGTCTTGACAGTAGCTGCTGTTGTTTGAGCATCTTGGTCAAAGAGGAATTGAAGTCATGGTTGACCACCTAGTAATCTCCCTAGTAATGACCTTTTATTTTTGGAGCATTGTGTTTTTAGGCATCAGGTTCATATATCTGACACCTGATTTTTAAACCTTTTTTAAACATGGGCTCTCTCAATTATTGAAAGTGCCAAAAGTCCATATCACCCATTGTAAACCAAGTCAACAACTTGGTGATGACCAAGTTTGTTTGCCTCCTTTTGTTCCACTTCTTGCTATCCACTTACAGTGTGCTCTTTTTGTTCACTGTTCTGTTGTGGAGAGTGATGGTTTGCTTGTGTTTGTTAATTTGGGAATTCCAGGTCTCCCCCTAGTCTGCTCCAGGCTTCAGCTTGGAGAGCCCAACCGCCAAGATTGATCCCAGCAGCTGGAGTGGCAGCGAGAGCCCTGCCGAGGACCTGGAGAGGATGAGCGACTCGGCAGACAAGCCGGTAGACAATGATGCAGAGGGAGTGTGGAGCCCTGACATTGAACAGAGCTTCCAGGAGGCGCTGGCCATCTATCCTCCATGTGGACGCAGGAAGATCATCCTCTCTGATGAGGGAAAGATGTACGGTAAGTACAGATGTGTTTTAGCCAATGCATTGTCTGCTTTACATACTTTTCTAATAGGGGAGAACTGAAGGAGCGTAAAAGAATAATTTGGCATTTGGGAAATATTTGCTTTCTTGCTAGAGTTAGAATGAGAATATCAAATATCACTCAAAATCACTTAAATATGAAGCTAGTGTAAGTAGCTGGTTAGTTGAGCTTAGCATAATGACTGAAAACATCTAACCTGCATTTGGCTACATCCCTTTACTAAGTTTAGTTTAAAATGCCTCACTGCTGCTTCGTTTGTGCTGCAATGTTGGCCCAGTTTTAGTTTGAAATCTCCAGGGCTGCATTGTATTCTGGACAGACAAAAACTGAAACGTCTGGATTTGTTTACAGATTGTTGGATCTCTTCTTACTTTTGATTGCTGTTTCTTGTTTTGCTGTAAGTATACGCAACTGCAGAGTATACAGTTTACAGTACATACGTAAATGATCATATGATATAGGTTTTCAGGTGTGTTAGTATGGATGGGGATTATTACTGAAGCAGAGTGATTCAACATTATAATTCAGTCTCAAATGTATCTCTGATGAGTCCTGTGATGATGGCTATACAGCTACGACTCTGGTTCACAGAAGTGCAAGTTTATAAGTAAAGCAGCATGAACTATTAGCCAGTAGCAGATGGTACTGCGGCTGCCACCAGCTGTGCCCCCGCTCCTCCCTCCACTTCCCCCGATTCCTGGCTGGGTGATGTCATGGAAAGAGAGAATATTTTCTCTCTGCGGTGTTGGACCGTCTCACAGCCTGTCAGTGTCAAGTGAAGGCAGAAAGCCCCTCAGAGCATTCGCTCGCAGCTGTCATGTGACCCCTCCGGCCAAAGAAAATGTAAATTCTAGGAGTCGCAGTGAAACCCCTCAGCTGCCACTACAAAGATGTGAACTCAAACAGGACCCTCCCTACCGTCGCTTCCTCTGATTCCCCTGTCCCCAATAAAGCAAGGGATAAAGATTCGCTCTTTTAAAGTTATAAATGAGCAGAGCTAACCGCAGACCTCACTATTACCCAGCGGACGTTCTCAGTGTGATGCAAATGTTCAGCTTTCTGCCACACTGACATTAAGAATAAATGTATTTTGACAAGTTATGGAGCAAGAAAACAAGTAGACAAATGTATAACATGAACTGTTGGTTGTAGGTTCCTCTCTCATAACTGGCATTGATGCAACGGCAAAAGACGAGCCACTAAAATCTACCTCATGAAATTGGTTTATAGGCAAAAAATATAATTCAAAGACCGAAAAATATTGTGTTTCAACTTGTCTTACTCTGCACTTTACAATGATTGTTACTCAAGAGAGATTCAAAACCCTAATAACAAACCCAAAGAGACATTTTGTTTTTGCGGTGTTGAATCCACCTTCAAATCTGCTGAGGAGACAACTGTAGGGTTGAATAGGCGTTCGTCCTGCCAGATGTGCTCCGTATCTGGTTACATGTTGTCTCACCAGTGGCAGAATCCTTCGACTGTCTCGTTATAGTGAATCAGACCTGGTAGATTTGAGATAAATACTAGATATTTACACAACTTCAATTGTAGAAACAGAAAATATGCAACAGATGATTATGTGTTGTGAAATTTTGGTGGAGGATGGAGGTACATTTTAAGTTGTTGGAAGCTACAGAGGTTATTGTTGTTTTTTTGAGATTTAAGGCAGAATTGTGGATTCAGCCCTCTTTCCTAACATGAGTGCATTTCGTGGAGACAGTGCTTGTTGCTCAGTCCTGCAACTGTGCTGCATCCCAGTGCCCATTCCATCGTACCATGAACTATGACAATCTCCCAAAGACAGGAGGGTGCCATGGGTCCTTCTTAATAAACAGCCATTATTATTTTACATGGTTTGAGACAGTCCATCTCTAAAATACATTGTTTACCAAATATAGAGGTTGGAACAGGAACAATTCAATGGGTTGTCATGGTTATGGTTATAACACAGTATTTTCAGAGAGAGCACTCACCCATGTAACTTTTGAGCACTTGGACATTCAATTATTTTTTGAATCTTTTGAGAAATGTTTGGAATGTGAGTCAATTAATCATTTTCCCTCTGATATTACAGTTTTGTGAGCAAATTGTTGAATGCTTGTTACTTTTGACTCAGTCATTCATGTCCTTATTCCTCTTTGTGTGACAACTACATATTCACGCCTGCTATCTGCACAGCAGTATTATGCAAAGGCAGCCGCACATTTGTTTGTCCAATGTAACCCTAAAGTATGAAAAATACTTCCTCATTTTCACTGCAACATGTTCAAATGTGTTTTGTATCGTAAATCAGTGGTCAGTGTTTAGCTGGAAAATAATTGTTGTTGTAAAAGGCATTTATAATTTAGCAAACAAAACAATGCATTTTGGTTCCATCAATCCCAGGTCAAATATATTTTGCTATTTAGAGAGCTTGTCTGAAAAAGTATTAAATGGAGTCCAAAGCCTGGCTGCCCCCTATGAACAAAAGATGCTATCTTTGCCATGGGCATCCTACAAAGAATGTATTGTAGATCCATTCTTTGTAGGATGCCCCAGGTTTCCATTTGTGCTTCTTTAAATGCCATCAGAGATATACGAATGAAATGGTCCTCCATGCTGTAACAAGGGATTGATTTGTCTAAAACATCCAGTGATTTGTCTTTTAAAAGAGTTCAGCTAACCACGGTGAGGCTGATATGGTGCTGTGATCCAGGTCCATAGGGTTTATAACAGACACACACTGACATCACACAGAGCCTCTCATGGCATCTGAGATGAAAGTTGGCTACAAGGAGGCAGGTATTTTGTAGTTGAGAGACCCTGGGGACGGCATAGTGTTCCATACACAGAGCTCATCACAAGAGGAGCCGCCCTGAGTGCCCTTAAGCCCTTTGTTATCTTGGGGTAGAGTGCAGTTAATTAGCAACAGTCTCTATAGCAACTGTGTTGCGGTACAAAACCATTTCTAATTTCTGCTTCTTAGCTTATTGTTGTGTTTACCTGAAGTGTTTCGGATACACTGAGACCAGCGTCAGCTGGCGCTGTGCCCATTCTCTAAGGCTAATTGCGACTGCAATGGAAGACCCTACATCTGCACAGACTGCATCACGTGGCACTCGCCTCGTCCCCCACAGTTATTTAGAATATTTTAAAAAGTAAAGGGAAATGGAGGGCACTGGCCCCCAGCCATAGGCCTGAGATTCTGCACTTGCATAATTCACCTGCTGTGCTAGGCTGCATTCATTTATCCCAGAAATAGAGTTAATAAATGAAACAACACGTTTCTCTCAAATTGCATGTTTATTCATTGAGTTATGTATTTGCACTTGCCCCACAAGCTAAATGACAGTGCTGATTTTTTTGCAGTTACTGGCTATAAAAAAGAAAATGGGTTTTTATTCCATCTGCTGACAAACAAATATGTACATGCTTACTCTTCTTGTAACCTATATCTCATGTTTTTACTCAGATGACCAGTTGAATTTGATGCCTGAGCTTTAACAGATGGAGTATCTGTCTGGTTCTAAGAAAATATCAATAATCACACCACTAATTTTGCATATTTAACCTGAAATAATAAATACAATCCAGAAATTATTAAAATACATAGAATGTTATAATATTCCTGTTGCAAACGTATACTGCTGGCCTCTGGCTGCATGTTACTTTGGATGTAAAGCTTTTCCTGTTACCATTCTGCTGTTTGCTCTGCCATCTCGTCAGTGATCCAGCCCAGACCCCTCCTGTGGGAACTAAGTGGCACTTGGTTTGCAGAGATGCCAAGGATGAGTTAGATATAATGAGCAGACCTGACTTGCCCCCGATGGCCCAGCACTGTGCTCCTCTGGGTCTCGTCTCACCGGGCCGAGTATGCTCTGAGACAGAGCGAGCGGATCTGATCCTCCCTGCTGGGCAGATAATGAGGAATTCTGGGATCAGCTCAGGCTCCCCGAGTCACCTGCATTCACTCAGAATGGAGTGTGAGGAACTTCATTGCAGGAGAGACATCACACACCTCCAGAATAATCCGTCATTTGTTCCCCTGCCATTGTCAGTAGAAGGCTGCCGTGTTTTCACACACGTGGTAGTGAACAAAGTCCAATTATTTTATGTCTTCCTCAAAAGGGGTGAGTGTAGAAAGTGTAAATAGTCCTGATGCAGGTTTGATGAAGGAGGGAAGAAGCCATTTTGGTTGTGTTGTGTCGAACTGGTTGTTTTATCACTAGTAATGATGAAGATACTGCATACTTCTTTCAGTTCGATATAGTGGCAGGGATCAAACACAGTGGATGGGAATGGGTCAATAACCACAAATTAATCTGGTTTTATGACGTTTCTCTCTAACATGGTGCTCTCCAAGCATCACATGTCACATACCTCTCTACTCCACATGGATTCTCTATCACGGATGGGAAACTAAGTAAATATTACTTTCCTCTGCATTTTGACTCGTCCACATGTAAACAGCGTTTTAAGTTGCTAAAACTAAGATTCTAACAAACGCCCTGCAAAGTACAGATTTTCATAAACTGTGGTTATGCGTACATGCATTTGGGATATGACGATGTCACAGCTTACGTTGTGCATGTCCTGTGTTGCTTTGTGCAATGAATCTGCACCAGAAAGAAAAATGGTGGTTATATAATGGTTCCTCTACGTTTGCTTTGGGCTGTTTGCAGCTAAATTTACTTTAATGGCATCACAGGCTTCTGGCGCTCCTAATACTTGGATAATGTATAGATGCATACATGATTATAAAGTATGTGTTGGGGATGTTACGATTAACCGATTTTTTACGATATCCGCGGTTTCATGATGTCATGATTTCATAACCATAAGAATTGTAAAAACTACGATATCTAACTATGGTGTTCTGCCTTCTGCGAGTCACATAATTTGTGTGTGTGAGCCACTGAAACGTTAGTTGAGAAGAGGGAACTGACTTAACGGCCTTATTTCCACCAATGCTGGACAAACAACTTCATTGG